CAGTATTCCTTCACAAAAAACACCCTGAAGGTAATTATTTTGACCTGTACCACAGAGTCTTTGCTTAATTATGTCTTGATCTGTTGGAACTAATGGGAGAGATGCTCTCTTTCGTTAACTTCCAACTTGCTAGGGAGCAAGTCCTTTTCAACTTATCACATAGGTACGTGATTTAATGAATAGAGTATATCTTAACATGGTGGTAGATTGTGTCCTGTAATGTTACAGAAATATTAGCTTTCTTTTTTTTAAGACTTAATGTTAATTATGTGTATTTTGACTACTAGATCAATTTAAGTAACTTCAAGTAAACTAAATCCTGTGTACGTTTGTGTAAGGACAGGCAGCAGCAGATATTTGCTTTAGACCCAAGAACAACAGCAGTTACAATCCAGAAATAAAGAAGGAATCACTTACCTCTTTCCAGGGATCAGGACTCCCTGAACACTCCAAAGCAGACAGTCTCCAATAGACATACCTCTCCTGCAGCTGCTGGGCCTTAAATGCGGTTAGGGAGGGGGTGGACCCAGGGTCACACACATGAATTGCTTCCACCTGTGCTCCTAGGGCTGGCTGCACCCCTTTGCCAGGTGCTCAATCACTGGTTCAGGTCATGACCTAACAGTTGCCATCCAGTTAGTTGGTAGAGTTTGTTGTTCAAAACGTTCAAGTAAAGTAAATAACATGATCTGGTGTGAGGAAGAAAATGTAGTTCTTTTTAAAGGGCAGACTTTTTAGCAGTTCATATAACTCTGTAATTAGAATAAATGGATTAAATGTGATACATTTGTTTATAATTAAGGCATTTATTACATACATATAGCAGGTGCGAATATAACCTTTTCTTTGTAAATATGAAAGGACTGATTGTCTTTCTGAAATAGATAAATTTATGGAATGAAAAAGAAAGTGCAGAGAATAACAGTCAATAAACTGAATAACAGAGACAACAGAATTAGCTACAGGCATAAATAAGTGCATGGTAAGGGTAATTTGTTTTGATTCTGGAAAAGATATTTGCACTGAACTTTCCACTTATTAATACTCATTAGAATATATACATGTATACTTCATCCATGCTGAGGAAATCAAAAACTATTTTCTAGAGTTACAGTTTTCTAAATGAATTGATAGAGTTGGCTGTGTTTCAGAAGAAAAGCAATCAGATTTCCTCATTCTCTTTTAATGAACCTGACACCGATCGTACTGCCATTCTATGGATGCTGTTTAAGAAGAGTTTAGTGGGTGGTTTTTTGTTTCCTTATTTGTTTCCAGAAAATGATTACCAACATTGAAAATTTCAGTATATAAAATGAAAGGTGGTTCTTCATAACTTACTCTCTAGGCCCAGGTAGCATGTGACTCTCTTTCATCTCTTGTTCTGTAGATATTTGATTGATTATCAATGTAACTGTTTCAATGACGGCAAAACTCAGTGCTCTGGATTTCACATGATCAGGCCACCAGTTCAGTAGCTCCAATTTACAAGTATTATGTAAAATAAAACATGAATGAAATAGAAACTGTCTCTGAAAAAGCAAATTTGAGAATTTGTGACCGTGGCAAATCGCAAAACCATTGATATTCCTTTGCTCTTTCTGTCTCTAAAATGGGATGTTGGTACTACCCAGCATTTATGAAGAACATCACTTTTATAGACAAGAAGGCTCGAAGATGACTAACATCAAATATGCCAACATATTAATAGTTAAAATGTACCTGTTTGTTTCCTGCCTGGATTTTGACCAGGATCTGTGGAAATTTCTGTGAATAATGAATTGTATGGCAATTGTATGCTTCTTGCATAGCAACATTAATAAAATACCCACTTTCCTGTTTGGTAAACTTTCAGGTTAAGTCATTTATAAGGAGAAAAACACTTTCATTTTAAGAACAAGTGAGCCTGATAAATGAAGCATTTCTTCAACAGTCCAATGTCATTTTTTCTAAGTTCATTTTAAGCCTTGAATTGAACATTAACAAATGGTTATAAATGATTATACATACAACAAAGTGAATAGGTAATCTGAGAAGATGAGTTTATCTATACTCTTGGGTAGCTGTTACTATTTACTTGCAATCTGGCTACAGTTACCATTGTGAGGAGAATAGTCAATCAAAGTAGAATATATAAAATAAAATTGAAAATTGAATTGGAAGGTAATTTTACTTTCAAATGATTTGCAAATGTAGATGTTAAGTGTGAAATGAATGCAGTTAATGGCCGTAGCTGGGAGAGTTATGCACCTGCTGATCACAGGAATATTATTATAAATGAGGTTGATTTTCCTGTTGACTACCTCATTTTTCTCAACATGGTCTCATTACTTTTCTATCACATCTGACCCTTAGATATAAATACTCAAACACAGATGTTGTAAAAATATATTAACTCCTATATGGATTTTTTTTAATATGTCTTTGAAAATCAGGAAGCAATGTAACTGAAGAGTCTGGGAGTTTTACCCCTTCCTGAATAATTTTCTTTACTGTCCCAGCAAATATTTTATAGAATTTTAAGACCCTCTTCTTTCTTCAATTTTGCCCCTTCTCCAAAAGTTTCACCAGATTTCTACTGTAAAATATAAATATTTTTATTGTTTTAAATTTATTTACTGAAATAAGTTTTAAACTTCTTTAGGTGTGCTTATAACTATATATCTGGGGTTTGCCTCTTCTTTATGGCATTCATGCAATCACAAAAAGCATCTTATTTTAGATTGATGTTTCAGAGCGTGATATAAACATGCATAGTTTTATCTAATCATGTTTTTATTGCACTTTGGAATGTAGCTAAGCTGTACATTTACTAATAGCCTTTTTACTTCAAAGGTACCTAATATGTTTCAGGAGGGAGAAAGATAAAAATTTAAAGATATAAAAATAAACTATGACATTTCAACATATTTCTTGAGCTAATATTATGAAGTGAAAAATGTTTCTCTTGCCAGTTATTCAGAGATGTGCATAGTCTAAGTTCGGGTTGGTACTGTTTTGTCACGACATCTTTTATATCAGCATTTTGCACTGCAAATAACTGCATGTTTCAGCAAGAACACTGTTTTTGTTTGGCACTCCTACAACTGCCTGATTCAACCTAGTTGCTCAGCTAACTGCATAACCAAGACATTAGAGGTGTTTCAAACAACCACTACTGCCATTCTTTGGCACCTCAATTGCACAGCACTTCTGAGCAGCAAGATTGAGAACAGAGTGGAGAGTTTCTGAAAAATGCAGTCCTACGCTTTCACCGAAGTGTATAAAAGAAGCAGAGTGATGGATGGAGCTGGGCCTGGATCTGGGGCGCAAGTTTAGCTGTATGGCCAACTTGATGATCTTACGGGAATTATTTTGCCCCAATTTCATCAAAAGTAAAATCAAGCCCAGAATGCTACCATTGTAAGACACTTTCAGATCTTGTGATGAAAGCACTTTTCAAGAGCTTGATGGTATCATTCATCCATTCATAAATATACATGCAGCTGATACTGAAATCTCCTGTTGATGGCAGTGCTGAGGACGTAATGCTGTACTCTGGCACAGAAATGATATTTCTTTCTTCAAGATGCATTCAGTTTATTTGTGGAACTACTGATCTCTCAAAAGAAACTGCTAGTAGACTCTTCAGTTCTGTTTTGATTCACCAACCAGTCTTATGAGGATGAATAAATCAGAATGGGAGAGCAAAGATCCAGCAAGTTCTGGAAGGCCTCTGGACCTCTTTTACTTTGTGTGATGTTCACAACATTAGTGGGAAAATAGAAGGAACTTCTATGTTTTTATCTAGTTGAACCCTTTGGTACTCACTTAATTGCAATTGTCTTGTACTGAATGATCTCCTTGTTGAAGTCTTGAATTGCCAAAAATAGATGTAAAATGTAACGCAGCAGAGTGGATGCCTTTCTCATTTGACCCCAGGAATCCTGAGAACATATCAGAATGTTTATCAGGAAATTTTGGGTGACAGCATTTCATTAGTTCAGCAGCAGGTAGTCCTTACTAATTAAAAATATTTTTGTTTAAAAAAGAAAAAAGAAGTAATCTACAGGGTACTCTCACAATTTCAATTTAAAGTCTCACAAGCCCAGAATTTAAATCATAATTATTTATGAGTAATTACTTTTTAAAAAAATAATAGTGACAGAAAGTTGTTTACAGTAATTATTTGTCACCTTCTCAGAGGGGCTGCTAATTATAGAGAAATACCCATCTGTTAGAAATGGGGTTGTTCAGAAATACAAGAAAATTTATCGTGATTTCCCCACAGAGACTGCAGCCTTTAAGGTCTGTTATTCAGTATCATAGAGTGGTGTTGTGGGCCATATCAACGTTCTGCTGCTCTCAGGACTTGAATAAAGCAGAACGTAAGCAGTCTCTTTATCAGTTGAATGCAAACCTAGTGTTTGTGATCATGGCTGTGGTCTAAATCTATTACAGGTGTTCAATTCAGTGTCCTTAGTGTCATTGTGAGACGACCTGAATAGTGAACAATGCACTTCTGTATTATGTTGTACACGAAGGTGTGTGTCAGAAAGTGAAATGAGCAGACGGTCTTATGTTTAAGAATGACAGGGGCTCTTTTCAGGAAAGGAAAGCAAATAATGTTTTTCTAGTTAGAAGGTGACAGTGTATCCCAAGATAACACAAGCTTAAGGGGAAGAAACAAGTGTGATTATTAAAGGCTGCTGGGTTCTCACTTCAAACAAATTGAATTCTTTCATAGTCTAAAGAGCTATGGAAATCTAGGAAAGAGTGTAGACTGTTGAAATAAAATTAGCATGTAAAGTGATTTTATATGTGCAGGAATATCACCACCAAGGTTGAATTTGAGAAAGAAATCTCATTACTCATCTTGTAGAAAGGAATTCTTAAATTCTCTATTTGCTATCACTGACACAAAGGTTCTGCATAAGAATAGGGTTTTTTTTGTGATTGCTAAAGATACTGCGTTATTGAATTGACAAAGATCCATCCTGTTCTCTCCTGCTTTTATTTTGCAGGATAACTGATTTAGGAAATATTAAAAGAAGATTATATTTATCAACAGTCCACAAGGAGTTGTCTGTAACCCCTCTGCATGCAAAAATTCCTCTGTTTATGATCAGGCGCAAAATAGTAGGTATTTGGGGAGTGTTCCTTTAACTGTGGTTGAGCAGAACTTTTTTATCAGAAGGATTTTATATAAGTCTACAGACCTGTTGAAATTACTGTTTGCGTCAGAGCGCAATTGATGCACAATATGTGTGTGTCCCACCTACTGGATGGTATGAGAGCCACTTAATACTGTTCTCCAAGATTGATACTGTTTGTGTTGTGTTTATCTGTCACTTTTACTGTCTGTTCTGCCTGTGGCCATGTCTCATTCTTCTTTATAGTGCTCCTGTTCACACGTACCTTTTCCTGTAGTGACCTTTTATAACATATGCTGGAGCTGCAGCTGTCAATTATAGTTGATGACTACTTTCATGTGCTCCAGGTTTCTCCAGTTTCTAGAATATATAAAACACTATATATCAGCCTGTTGAAAATAAAACAGTAGCTGTCACATTCTCCCTATTGTTTTCTCCCATACCCAGCCAGGGCACATGATAATGCCTGTCAGGATAGAAAACCTGGGAGGTTACCATATAACCTTGTAAGAACTTGAGTCTTGAATACCTCTTTAGAAGAGCTGTTAGAAACACAGGTGAGCATAGCTCTTCTTAAACATCTCAGGCTCTATCTGGAAGACACAAAGCCACAAGAAGACATATTTTGTTAGTTCTCTTTTTAGTATTATTTGCTTTATGCAAAACCTTTTTCCTAGGAATATACTGAATTTTATTGTGGTCCATATCCAGATAGATACTGTAGCTACTCATTTCTGTATTATAAAAACCAACAATATGCAAGTGGAAAATGGTCATTAAACATTTTCCTCACCAGTTGCTTATTTTGAAATATCTGCAAAATGTGTTGTGGGTGTGGTAGGGAACTGAGCTCACTTTAACTGGCAGTCCTTAGGTCGTATGTAGTGAATTACTTACATCAATAGTTGTTGCAAGCACAGAAACATCTTTTTAAATATCAAAATGTTATGCACTGTGGGTCACAGCCTGCAAGGATCTAATACTCCACAAAGGCTTCATTTACTGAGATCTGTACACTGATACACTTCTGCAGTGATAAGTGTTCGGGTTTTATTCAATAATTTTGCTGCTTCTTTCTAGTGGTGCAACTTGTGTATTGACCTGGTAGCATTCACCAGTGAAATATTCAGAGGAGCCATCTTCCAGTCCTTGGATGGAATTATTATTTCAGCTAACTGTAAGCTGAGGAAGATCTTCACGTTAAAATCCAAGCCTCAAGATACAGCTGAAGAAAATGGTGTGTTATAATTGCTTTCTAGTCTTAATCATAACTGTTTATATTATAAAATCAAAAGCTTCCTGGTCTTCAGATTTACAGTTTGAAAAATTATCTGACTACCTGAAAATTAAAGGGACGGGGCAGTGTATTCAATCTGTTCATGTTGGACTTCAGGTGACAAATATATGAATGTTCCTCTGCTTAAGCATCAACTTCATTAAAAGCATCTTATTGAAGGAATTCTGACAAGATTTATGAAGTAGAGAGCATTTTTTTCCAACAGTGTCTTACTCTGATAGAAGGCAAAGTTTGGGCCAAGAAGAGGGTGTCTGAAAAGAGCATTTGGCTACTGCTGGTTTTCTTTGTTGCACAGTTTCACTGCTGCTGAAGGATTTCTTTTTAAATAATCCAAGACAAAACTTGAACAAAACAGCATCGTGTCAAACTATCGTGAATACCTGTCTGTGATCCTTAGTTCTTTTATCCTGAAGTATCCTTGTTCATTGGGAAAATAATAGTGGTGGTGGACTGAAAAATTAAAGATTGTATTTGTAATGGAGCAAGACAGTGCTCAGAGGATACTGGTCTCCAAAGTAGGTTAGTGGGATCATAATGCTGTATCTTTTTTTTTTTCCAAGGAAGAGAACTTCATTCATCACTGGAATTTGCAGTAATAGATGAGAAACTGAAAAAGCACAACTGACATTATTTATTTTAGAAGAAAATAGGTCTAGTTCAGCATTCAGAAATGCAGTTTCACATATTTTGTATATTTCAAAGGAAACTCCAGAAGCAAAGGGCTCTGGTTTCTGAAGGAGAGATGTTTAGCAGGACTGTCAGTGTAACAAAATGTGTCTTGCATTTGGAAGACCTAAACCAGGAAGGGAGAGTAGGTAATCATTGTGATTGCTCCCATTTTTTTGTTTGTTTGTGAGCTTGGAAAAAATATTAATTCACTAAATGACTACAGAGAAAACTCACTAAATTCTCAGCAGAAGCTGCACTGAGAGGCAGCGCTGGCTTTAATTTAATTTAACTCCATCAGCACATTTTTTTTCTCTTGTCCATTCTAAACAGATTTTGAAGTGAACATAAACGGTCTAAATGAGTTCCAGAATTCCAAAACATAGTTAACATAATGAGTAGACAGCTTTAATGAACTGTATGCATGGTAAAATATTGCACTTTTAATTACTGGATTATCATTTCTATGATTATTACACAGCTGGTGGGCATTAGTATTTTCTGTGTGCTTATGAATTTCCTTCTGTAGGCAAGGCTTCAAATCAGGTTTCAGCTCAAGGTTTGGCTGCATAAAAATAGCACGATTCTTCATACTCAATTACAGAAAAACAATAAAAGTGTTTTTTTTGTTATTAATTACTTTTCAGTTAATGAATTGACAAAGCTTTTTTTTCCTATCAGATGGCTGGGACAGTTCAGCTCTGAGTGCAGTGATGGTGTAACTTGTGGTGAGGGTTGAGCTCTTTGCTTTGACCTCCTCAGTGGTGGGAGTAGTGTTCTCAAGGTTAACGTGTTGCTCTTCTGCAGTACTGGTATATGCTGCGTACTGTATTCTTACAATGATAGCAAGTAGAAAGGAGAAACCACATATACTAAGAAAGTATTTTTGAATGAGATCATTGAAATGGAGAGGGAAGAAGAATTAATCTCCTTTGCCCTGTGGTATTGAGGTATATAAGCTTGATATACACCTCATTTCCGACTTCCATGTAATTCGAAGGTTACACGTGTTTTTTTATTACTATGTATTGTCTCACTGTAGTAAATAATATATGGGCTTGGTGAAAAAATAGCAGTTAATACTCATCTTGGCTACATAAGTATGACCACTACTGTAATGTGACACGAGACAGCTGATTTTTTTCTATCAGATACTCAATTCTTGACCCATTATTTGTGTTTAGTTTTGGAGTTGTACTTTCCTCCTATTCCAGGAAAACTGGCTAACATTCTTTAGCTTATTACAGTCTCGTCTCACAGGAACTTGTAAGAATTTGCATCAGTACTTCAGGAAGGGTTCTGACTCTGAAAATGTTATTTTGTACAGAACAACTTTCATAAACTCAGTTTATATTGGTTATCAAAGGGAAAGCAGTAAGATCACGTTCTACCAGTACCTGCTGTCACAAGAAGAAATAGGTTGGCAGCTTTTTGGTTTAGTGTAGAATTGTGTATACAAAGTTTGGAATTAAGTCTTGTCCAATTTTTCATTTGCATGTGCAGGACTTTGCTATTTGCTACTCCAGTACCACTGATCTCTGGAGGTGCCTTCCAACCCCTATGATTCTGTGATTCTGTGATACCACTGCCATTTTCAGAAGTTCAGTTTGTCTAAAAATCAGCATATCACAATTAGAATGAAAACTATAATTGTAATAAAATGTTAACAAAATGTATTTTGTGTCTCTGTTTTACTTGTTCATTGACAAATCAAAAAAATTGTTTCACTTGGCTATTCTAGCCATTGGTGGTATTCTTTGGCTAAAATCATAAACAATACCATCTTAAAAATTAAGATGTTAATTCTCTTCAAAATTAAGAATTGTAGCAAATGCTACAAATGATGGTAATCTACAATATATGTTATCTAATTACCTAGACATGTAAAGCCAATTTTATGCCAGTGTCACCTGAGAGTGAAGACAATTTTTTTTATTCTAGATACGTGCCTTGTGCCATTTACACCAGGTGAGCCCACAGGTGTTATGCCTCGATCCTGCCAGCTAAATACAGACGTGCCACAAGTTACACAACTGCTGAACTTGGCTAAAATTCACAAGCCAGAAATAAAATGCAGGAGTTCTCCAGTAACAATGCAAGAAACAGGTATTCTGTTGTTTTAAAATACTGTGAATGGGGTCCACACAGCATGCATACAGATAACAGATGTTTGCTGAAAAAGCACGTTATATTTTTTTATTGTCTTCAAATAAAATGTAACGACTCTTAAATTCAACTTATTAAGTACAATAGTGTGAGTGATGTATCCAAACCACTAGCAGCAAAAAGTTTGTTTGAAGCTAGAAACCTCAACATCTCTGGCCTATGTGAAAATGAAACAAATGAAATGGCTTTAGCTTAAAGATTAACGTTTATTTCTAACCTCATCTTACAAACATGACATGTACTTCCAGATGTGCATTTCAAAGTTCACACACCAAGCTTGCTTGAAAATGGAAGCTTTGGTATGTTTAAGGAAATTTCAGTTGGAGGATGGGTTTTTTAGCCACTAAACATTTTGTTTATTTGATATTCAAAAGACCAAATTATTTTTAGTCTCATCCACTTTTAATTACACATATTATTTCATTATGCCATCAACACACTGTTATGTGTTGATGTAGGTAATTAATTGCAGTCAATTAATGTGTTCATAAACAGAAATTTTCATGCAAATCAGATTTTATAATTGGAGCTAACAACATCCCAAGGTAGTCAGCAAATTAAAGAAATTGATGTTGGGTCATCTAATCTTGTGAGATGGCAGCTGTTAGCAGGAACCAAATGTCACATCACAAACAAAGGAAAAAGCTAATGGCAGAAAGTGGCTTCTTTTGTGCTTATTAGCACAGTAATCTACAATATTTGGTGATTAATGCGTGATCTTTTTTTCATTTCTGTGTTGGCAATGGAAGTAGAACTTATCTAGAATGAATATTAATCAATTCTATAAAAAGGCTTCAGAAAATCTACAAAATGTGTTTCTACTTGATTTCTCTTTGCTTCTTGAAGATGTCTCATCTCAAAAGGAAGGTAGTAATTTAACACTTAAAGTTGTAGCAAGAAAAAAGCCTTCACACATTGCAAGTTTTAATTCTAAATTAATGTGAGGTTACACTAATTTATTTAGCAGCTCTGGGAAGAAGAATCCACTGACAATCATTTTTTATTTTGCAGAGCAGTTGGCATTTTCTTTCCTTGAAAAAATTATAGCAGAAATCTTTTAAATAGTAAAAAATATCAATAAGGACTATTATTTATTTATTAGAGCTGTTTTTTCTTACTGCTACAGGTTAGATTTCCATTCAATTTCTACAGAAATCATTTAAGTTTTCTTGTGTGTTTCAATGTAGCCTCTTTTTAAACAGAACTTTAAAGCAAGGAGATTAGAAATATGTCTGTATAATGGACCAAAACTTTCTTGCTTGTATGTTGACACTCTTCCATAAAATGCTTATTTGCTTAAAGTAAAAAGATAGTGAACTTTGAGTACACTATCTTACTTATACTAAGGAATACTAATTCCTGGGGATTGTGCTGTAAAGAACATAATTTTTGTGTATGTCTAGGACTGATAACTCTTTCATTTCTGTTGATTTTAAAGTTATTAATATTTATCCTAAGTACTGTAATATATTTTTAAAACTGATTGTTCTTTACTTAGCTCGTTTGGTTAATAGAAGACAAGGCAATAGGAACAGCAGTAAAACTCAGGATGTGTCACATATTGCATTTGGATCAAAGATCCTTGGACCACCTCCATCTTCAAACAGAAGAGTCTGCACAAGGGTATCTGCAGAGGTAAGAAGGCTTACATTGCAACTTTTCCTCTTCTACCAAAGAAGAGATTGACCAGTAAGAAGGAGGAGACTTACACCCAAAACATATTTCAGAATTGATGTGAGGCTACATCATATGTATGCATGTGTGTCAATAATTTTTTCTGATGATGGTGTCTTTCAAGGTAACGAAGACTGTGGGTAGCAAAAGTAATAGGTCACACCAACTTCAAAGTTCAGGAAAAAGAAGTGAATCCCTACAAAACACTGAGAGACCGGAGGTGTCGTTCTCACCATGCACTGATTCTTTAGGTCAAGGAGATAAAAGAAATACTCACCAAGCAGCTAAAGATGTTCATCAAAATGGTAAGAGTCTAAAGGGAACAATCTGTAATGAACTCACAAATGGCCAAATTTTTTTCAGGATTCCGACTTCAGAGTGTAAGACTTAATTCTCATTTACTAATCCTTTACTACCCAGTTAATTACTGAATACATTTATGAGAAATACGGCTTATTCTCCTATATGATCTTGAAAAAATGCTCGTTCTCTGACGGTTTTGTAAGCATTTTGAACCAAGGACCACCACCTGCTGACAATAGCTGCAGGGTAAACATATTCCTGTCTACCTCATGCTGTGCATGTAAGGGGCTAGTGCAGTGATTCTTGATAACTTTGCAGGTTTTGCAAGACTGTTTTGTGTACTTCTGTATTTTGCCCTTCTGTACACAGTGCTAAATTTTGACTTTGTCTGTCATATTCCTGCTGCCCCACAAATTCCCGTGCTGTTCAGAACATATTTGTATCCCAGAGCAATGCCCTGTATGCTGTTCTTCCATACCTCAAGTAGGAAAAGCATACGTGTTCACAGGTATTTGATACATCTGGCTTGTATTTCAGATTCTGCAATTCAGACTCAGAATACCTCTGAGAATGGAAGAACAGATTTTCAGCTACCCTCACTTCAAGATCCATCAACAGACAAGAACAGTCATAGAAGATTATGTCTAAAAAATGCAGACAAAAACACATGGGAGATAACCACTGGTATGTTGCTAATTTTATGTTATTTTACATCTCAGTTCTGTGTGGGTCAGAGGACTATTTGTTGTAAATTTCAAAGGCCTCAGAAGCAGTTCACATAAAATAAAAATGTATGTGCTGTAGGGATTATGGAAATCAAATACCCTGCAACAAAAGTGCTTCTGAGCACTGATAAAGATTTGTAGGATTAAGCAGAGTACCAGTGCATGAATGGATGAAAAATTCCATGCTTTCTTTATTAAAGGGAAAGAACTAAAAATATTTTTTTTCTTTAAATCTCTATTAAATTTAACACTAAAGACCCCAAACATTGAATGTTTACTTTTTTCTTATTATTTCTGGATGAATGTGTTCTGATGAACTTCCCATAGGCAAATCATTCATTAAAAAAAATCTGCTATCCCCTGTTCTGAACTTCTCAAGAGATGACAGTGGAAAAATGGTAGGCATTCTTTGAGGAAAAGTTCACAGAGAAAGGGGAAAAAAGCATGACACAAAATATGAGGGCCCTACTAATGTTAAATAAAATTACACCATACAACATTTGCATAAAATACTGTACAAATCCTTTACAAAAGAAAGTAAAACATATGCTGACATTATCAGATGAGAAAAAAGAAAAAAAACCACTCCTAACTCATCCTTACCAACCATTTATCGTTTGCATTCACATTGAATTCCTAATACTAATAAAAGCAAAGAAACAACGGTTACTGCGATAACTTGTATTGCAGTTGTTCCTGCACACTGTCAGGATTGTAATCCCATAAACCTCATGTTTGTATCCCAGAGCAATGCCCTGTATGCTGTTCTTCCATACCTCAAGTAGGAAAAGCATACATGTTCACAGGTATTTGATACATCTGGCTTGTATTTCAGACTCTGCAATTCAGACTCAGAAAACCTCTGAGAATGGAAGAACAGATTTTCATGTTCAAGTTCATGTTCAAGTCAAGAAACTCCCGGCAACTGATCTTGCCCAATAGCAAACATCCACAGGCTTGGTTCAAGAGCACTGACTCAGCCAAAAGCAGAGTGCTCACACTTCTGATGTGTGCATACGTACTTACATCATGGCAATTCATTGGCACAAAGCCTCATTCCCTAAACAGGAGCAAAGCATGTATGATTTTTGATTCTCCTTTTATACAAAACAAATTGTAGCAACAAGAATCTGTCATATACAACTCTTTTCTTATAACCAGACGCTTAGTGTTCTTAAACCCTGTGCAGCCGTCAGCTTTGGTCACCCTGGGACAGCACTACACTTGTGCCACTGGCTTGACTAAATATTACCTTAAGTTTCATGAGTGGAGAACCTTCATAGGTAGTTATTGTTATTTCTTTAGAGATTGGTCACTATTATTTACTGTATCTTCTAGATTTATCACAGAGCTCAAATCAACAAACGTTCCATTAGCAGGTACACAGTACCTTTATAAAGGTAAATTATATTTTAGCAAGAAAAAAAGAAGAGTAAGTATTGTTTATAGTTTGTCAATCTTAAATATGCAATGTTGAAACCTTCATTAAAATGTTAGGCTGCAATTAGAAGCTTTACCATAAGTCTGACTGTGTGGAAGAACTAATTAGATGTTTAGGTGATCATTCTTGCATTTATCGTGTTTGCTGCAGTGTTGTGATTACATAGCAATTTACATATTTTGCTAAGAAGATGCTCCAAATTGTTCATCACAATTGACATGTAAATGCTGAGTATAAAAGAAATTGCAGTATAGTTTGTGGTTGAGAGATAATAGGATTTGGTTTGGTCGAAAACTCTCCATATCTTTCTCTTGTAGACCATTAACAAAATGGCACAGTGATTACAGGTTACTGAAGTTGCTGAACTCAATACCTCGTGTAAAATGTCATTTGAAAACCTTCCAGACTTAAAGTTTTCTCTTGCGGTTTCAGTTGTATCTGCATGCAGCTTTTTACATGTAAATCCAATTACCTGGCTAATTAAGATATGTTTTCAGGTGAGTGTGACACAATATTAAGTGATCAAAGAGAGAACCCTGCTCTCCTATCCTTTGGCAAACCTGTAGTTATTGATCAAAACAAAAGGCCATTGGATTTACACAAAAAAGGTACTTCTTAAGAGCTATGAATAGCATCACTCATTTCTTGAGACTTAAAACAAATGGCATTATTTACACGTTCAGCTTGCAACTCTTAGAGTCCCCTACAGTTTAAAAGTGATGTCTGTATATTTACAAAATGCAGTTGGTATTGTACAGTATGAGGCATGAAAAGCCTTGAGGCTTCTGACAACAGGGGCTCTTCATTTAGAGACTGAGAAATGTTCTCCCCTGGCACAAGGTGCCAGCCATGAATACACAAGATGTGTTACGTCCCTGCTTTTCACCTGGTACAAACTGCTGTGTAGGATGCTAAGCGCAGTTCAATAGCTTCACTGGCTGTGTTCAGTAAACTGGAAGAATCAGAGCAGCATAGTAAGAAGGCAGGCATTCCTGCCAGCATTCTCATTTTTCTCTTTCTTCTGCTTTCATTTAGTTCAATTTTTTTTTTCCCAAAGCTGAATCTGCCTAGAGTAATAACTATTTCTAACAAAACTGAGAATCAAATTCCATAGTAAATTTACTCTGCTCTGTGACAGCAGGCATTTTATTATTGCAGTGCTACTTTATTATTAGGTTTTTAGTATTTTTTATTGAGGGCTTTTTTTTTTAATATGGTTGGTAACTTTGTTTTATGGAGCCAGAAAGTTTCCAAATCTAGTGAATAATCCACACCACGCTACCTTTAATGAAGATAAGGGAGTATTGCATACTTGAGCAGTTCTCCTTTTCTCAGATGCTATTTGAGATTGGTTTTAATCAATCAAATTGACATTTTTTTTCGATGTCATCATTCCAAACAGTAAAATATAACTTAACAATGAGAATGTAAAAATGGTCTTTTCGTGTTTGTCTGGTGCACTCAATCTTTAAATCCATTTCTGTAGTTTATTGTTTGTTTCAAAATTGGCAGATTAGTACAGTCAGTGTTCAGGGAAACTTGGTGAAACAGATATCTTCATACATTTTTCATGTCATGCTGTTTTTCCAATAGAGCTATAGTTTGAAATTGAGATTTAAACCATAGGTTCTAGACATAAAAGAAAGTGTAGAAATTCAATAATAAAGAAGCAGCAGATTGCAATATGATGAACTTTCCACCAAGTATGTGTGGTTTTTGAAAGGAAAACGTCAGCCACAAAAATAAGCCTATAGAAAAAGATCAATTGCCAATTTTAATAATTAACAGCTAAATAGTTTCAGCTCTGAAAATTACAAGTTTGCATGTCATGTGTTGTGTCCTGTGCATTTTTTGAGCTTTGATCAGGAAATGTTTTGGTTGAGCTCGCCTCCCTAGAAAACAGCCTGATCTCTGTCAGTGCACCTTCATCACTCTTCCAAATGTATACATCAGAACATCTGCATTAAAAAAAAACCTTATTTTTCCCGATGAGAAAAGAGAGTGATCAGTATAAAGTGTAGTTTATATGTTTTACATTGCAGTAAATATTTTGCATTTCAGACGAATGGGTGTTTCCAGAAAGTTTCACTGAGAACATGCAGTTGGATGGGAGCAAGCAGCACGCAGCCACTCAAGATTCAGCTTGCTGTGATGTAACCTCACCGGAGATCACCTCTACTGAACATCAGGACAATGAAATGGGTGATCACAACATGAATCATAAAGAGATTTTCACATTTTCATCAAGACCTCGATCAGCTCCTCATGGGAAATCCCCAAATATATCACCAGAACACTGTATTTTCCCTCTGGATTTGAAGCAAGACAGTAACCACATCCAGGGGGAAACCCAAACTGAAGATAACTTTCAAGGAACTGACAGTAGTGAAGAGGTAGGCCACTTTGTAGGTGCAATTCGTGATAAAATAGCCTTTGTCCTAAAACTCCTAAGTTGAGATTCTGTCTGCCAGGTAGACAGGGAAGATAAATCATCTTTTCCCCATGTACCTTTAAGTAGATTTGTCTCTGTCGGGTTGCTGTATTTAACTGAATACAGGGGTGAAAATGAAGGAATTCCTTCTGTAACAAGAGGACAAAAGAAACTTAAGTCTCTGTCAACCCTTATGCCAGTACAGAGATGTGAGCATTCTTTGAGCATCCTTATAACAGAATTTAAGGAAGCCTGCATCACAGATTTTGGCAAGACATGTTTGTTATGCTTGAATGAGTAAATAAGGCTTCATTGTGCCTTTTGGAACTGTAAGCAGAGACTGTTGTGCTCACCAGCTTTGTCACACATTCTGGTGCATTTCATTTTTAATTACAAAATCTTTTTCCCAGCATTCCAATCTCTTCCTTATAGCTAAGGAGTAAAATACAACCAAGATGCCTAATGCTAGGACACACAAAACAGAAATACTCTTCGGTTCTGGGAATCTAGCTTCCTGATGCTAATTACAACAGATAACATTTTTATCAAGTTTTTTTCCTATGATTTTGTGGGTTTCCCCACTATCTGCAGCACTTAAGCCTGTGAGGCTTTGTTATTTCAACAAGGTTTCACAATTTCAGAGTTAGATCAGTTTTAGGCAGGCTAGTAATTCACAAACAGTATTGTGTATGTGATAACATACCGAAAATACAGAACTGTTACTGTTTGGATTTCAGATAATTTCTTTGTCAGTTATCCTCATGTAAACAATCAGTGGCTTATTTTTGTGACGTGCCTCACTAAAAGCTCTAGGCCTCAGTTCATCTGGCAGTCTGTTAATGCTTCAGCAGACCAGACTGAGGCTGTCACCAGGTGGCTGGCACATTGTTGGGTTGCTTCTATTGCTAGTGGATTCATTTGCTGGAAAACAAACAGAGTTGCAACAGAGCTATGTCCTTGATGAGCTTCTCTCCCATTTAAAAATCCTAAACATTCAAAGCACTCATTGCTTTTCTGTTCTGATATTAACAGATGCCATCATCCATCACAGGAAGCTTTCTGTCCTGGGATATGAAAAAGCCCACACGCTGTATAACATCAGCAGTAATGCAGGAAAGCATGAGGTCCTTGATGGATAGACAAGGCCCAGTGACAAATGTGAAGCAGTGTGTGGTGTTCTTGGGTCTTTACCTTACCCAGCACTGCGAAAGATCTATTGTTCCTCACAAGAAGCTATAAATCTCACATCATTGCATGTTATCTGTAATGTCCTGCCATACTGTCATCCTGCCCCAGAGATTCAGTGCCAAGTGCAGAAAGATAAAGGCAGTGACCAAACACTCCTGCCTTGACAGCACAGGAAGAACACTGTGGCACAACATTAATGATCATTTATAAGGCTGATGCAAGAGAGACTGAAAGAGTATTCCTATCTTGCCTACAAAGATTTACACTGCTATACTAACTTAAAACTTTCTTGGACCATGTGCCAGAGGTAGAATAGAGCATAGACTGTTCCATTCACAGTCTTGGGATGCAAACTGCATTAATAGAGTCAATATTGCATCCGGAGATACATTACATTAAAAAAAAAGCATCAGAATTGTGGCAAACAGACCTACAGCATGCTGATTATCTAACTACTACGTTAATAATTGATAGTTAGGCCATTCTACCATCCTAAAGAAGTCACTGAACCAACAAATTACTTAGCTGACTTGTTTTGTCCATGTTCATCCTCTTCCCTGTACAGATGTGTTCTTTGTTGCTTTTTGCTATAAAGCTGACTAGCATTACACTGATATTCTGAATACTTATTTAATATTCAAATTGCTGAAGACACTTTTATTTCAGGCACTGAAAATACAGGAAATGGGAGCCTGGAAAAGCCATGATAGTTAAACATAAGATCATTGATTTAATAGTAGCTGCTTTTAACACAATTTAAGATATGTATGCAAAATTACCCAAATTCTTTAGCAAAATCATAAGTATTTCCAAATCTTGCTTACAGGACAAAGCATTTACTTACCTAAGTTAGAGTGAATCTTGCAATGATTTTTTTAACAATGCATGTTAATCTAACATGTTGAAGTAAGCTACATTGTGACTGGTTCTTGATACTACAATTGTCTTTCGTTATCTTTAAGTATACTGGAGCTTTCTTTGACATTCAGACGTGTTGTGTTTCTGTATAACATACATGGGTACGTACTCTTGAACGAAACAAGACAAGACAGATATCTCCAGTTACAATGAAACAATTGCATACGGGCATGAATTTTGTTACTCCTGAAAAACAAGTGAAACTTATTTCCTGATGAAAATAATTTTCAAAATAGGATGCCTTTGTAGTTTAAGCATCTCCTATTGCAGAGAAGTACAAAAGTTCCAAAAGTTCTTCTTGTGTTTTGCATCACTCTATCATCAGTTCTAAAATTACATTTAAAGAGAGCAAATCTCAGTTTCATCACAGTGTACATTTGAAGTTAGTGGAGCTGCAAAGGAGAATTATGTACTTTTTGATTAAATCTGTGGAAAAGCAATATAATCCATGAAAAAGTAAAACCGTTGTAAAATACAAGAGACGGGCCATTGGTTTTGCACCAGGATAAATTTCAAATAAGTGCATATTGACTCTATGCTGCATGCACTGGAAGCTGTAGGATATGCATAACAACTGTGCTAGAATTGTACTTCTCATGTAACTTTTGGGAAGGAGATGTTTCAGCAAGGAAGCTGAAAACAGCAAGTATTCATAAATTCCCTTAATCATTTATCAGTGAGGCACTGAAATAGTTAAATGCTGTTATTCAGTTATGAGTCAATCAGTAAAGGATAAAATCTCTTCCTGGTGACTGTGGCTGGTGTTCCCACAAGGCCCACTGCTGCCAAACTCCCTTTTGGCTGTGAAGCCTTCAGCAAAGAAACTTTCCATCCTTATGCAATTAAAAGAGTAATATACTGAGATAATACACTCTTACCAAAGCCGATGGGCAATTTCAGTCTGATACCTCAGTGTTAAAGCTCAGCATACAAAGGGACCATATCCCATCTGCTCCTCCTAGGTGGCCCTCAAGAGTGATTAGAATGATCTTCTTAAAATTACACCTCAGCAAGAGCAATCAGCTTTATGTATCTAGCAATTGCCCAACTGCCCATCTGCATGTTTTTTCCTAGGAATACAGTGCATCAGTGCAAGTGCTGGTTCCTCGGGGAAATCATTCTCATCTTCACTATACATACATGCATATGCTGTGCTGTAGATAACATAGCAAACTTTATTTATGTTTCTGGCACAACATCATGATTTAATATGTATTCAGGTTTTAGAATGATCTGTTAAATATGGCTGAAAGAGACATGGAAAGATGGGAGAGGTTTAGATTTCAGATAAATCAAAGTTAACAATTTATCTCTAGCGTGAAAAAATGCAGTGCTTTCTTTAGTAGTCTTCCACCTCAAATTAACCTAACTTAATAAGGGTTTCCAGCACAGATTTGGTGATAACATATGATAAGTAGAGAAGGGAAATAGAGTTGTGTGTTTCAAGGAAAGGAGGGGAACAGACCTGTTGTTACAAACATCTGAAGTGGGTATCATTTCAGATCCAACAAAAATTCAAAGAACAAAAGCAACACAAAATGTCTGTAAATTTGCTGACATTTCACCTATCTGTACATTTCATACCGTGCCTAAAAAATGTGCAACAATTTAGATAGTGTAGAAATAGTTACATTAGTATACCTTCAGAGAAAACGTGCTGTACACTCACTGTTCCTTTGTTTTTTGCAAACCACAGACAGTGATACTCCAAGGAATCCACCATGCTTACTCACCCCATGTGTATTTTCTTACTCAATGTGTTATAAAATGCATTGCATTGGAGGTTCATATTACATCTGCAAACCATTCTCTGTTGCAATATTTCATAAATAAAAAAAGAGATTCTTTTTCCAATAATTTTTGAATGTACATTTTGTGGAATCCAACCCTGGACACATAGCAGTCAGTAGCAAATTTGGACCACGCAGTAGGACTGGACCTTAGCAGTGAAAGGTGTATTAAAGATACTTTGGCGTCTTACTGAATCTTGCAGTATCTTACATCTGGGCTGGTAGCATCTGATACAGAAGCAGCAGATGAAGGCAAGGCCTCTCTCATCCATTCTTCCATGAGAATAAGCGAGAATAAGAACACTGAGGCAACAACAAAGCAAGTCTAGTGTTTATTTCCCATATGCCTGGATTTGCTGTTAATTGTTGAGATGTAGCATGAGAGAACATCACACACAATTAATGGGAGGTTTTGCAGAGACACTGGTGAGTGTGAATGTAAGGATAATAAACTAACCACCAGAATTCTTCAGTGATACTCAGCTATCATCCAGAGATGAGTAAAGTGATCTCAGCCAGAATTAATCCTTGTATTTTTAAGTTGTGGGTGCAATGTGAAAATACAGAATACTAATAATTCAATGGAAAGTTATTGTTATCATGGACTTCTTGCTTGGTTTCTGTTTTACATCCGTTATAAATGTTCTTGAAATTGATTATTCTATAACATGTAGGTTTAAGAGGTTACCAGAATGCTAAACCTGGGCTAATGTTTTGAGAAGCATAATCCTGTCTCCCTCTCTCTCCTGTGGTTCTCTTAAGATGTAGAAGTGCTTGTGGGTACTCAGGGTTGTTGCCAGGAGAGCAGATGGTTCTCAGAATCTTTTTCAATTTGAAATTAAGCACTAGAAATTGAAGAGCCATTTTATAATCTTAAGGTCAAATATTTTGTGCAAAACAGCACTGTGTGACAGCGAGGGGGAAATCACTCACTTTGTTCCCTGAATTTAGGACAACAACAGCGACTTCATCCAGAGTACTGAGAACCTTGAGATCAGCTGCAGCAGCCAAGGAACGCCTGATTCAGTAGTTTTTAAAGACAACACATTAAAGAGGATATCACAGAGAAATGAAAACTGGAAGAACATGGGATGCAGCAAACAAAACCTCGAGGAAAGCATGGTGTCAAAACCACAGAGTTCTGCTGGGCGAAAGACAGAACCAGTCAGCAATCAGAGAACCTTAAAGCCTACTTTTTCTCTTTCTCCAACTGGAAGTAAAACCGAATTCTTTAAAGTCATTCCAGATGTGTCTGAAAAAATTGAAAAATCTGAGGGACTTTCTGGTCAAATAAAGTCATCAGTCAGCAAAAACTCCCTCAAGAAAGTCTCAAGAGAAAATTTGTGTGTGACAACACAGACTTGCGTAAGTGGTTTTTACTTTGAAATTAAATTTGATTGTTTAGACAAGCTGTATTAGATACAACCAACTGCCTGACATGAGAAACAGTACATCTTCCATCCAGATACATTCTGGCTTCATCATAACAGTCTTTACCAAGCTCAGTCTGTTGAAGGTTGGTTTTCTACGTTTTGTTGCGTATAAATCAATACTATCAGAAATCACAGAGGTTCGTAGATACCAATAGATGTAATTCAGCAACTTGCATTTTGGAAATTATGTGTTAGAAAGAAAAAAGTCATTTTGAGTACCACCTTATTCTGCTCACTTAGTGATGTTCTTTGGTGGAACATCTACACATTTCCTGAAAAGCTCCAGGGAAGGACTGGAGCTGACTCCACAACTCCCTGGGCAGCCTGTTCCAACAAGAGCAATTCAAACTGGGCAACACATTGAAGATGAGCATCTAGATAAGCATATGTACAAGTTTTCAGTCTACCATTGGTATTAACATGCAGATATTGCCATGCCACTGATACTTCAGTGTTTTGGTTTTTTTTTTTTTGGTTTTGTTTTTTTAAATGAATTTAGTCTCTCCAGTACTGGTGTAAGGGTTGTGCTTTATGTATCATCATCCTCTGAGTCTCCAAGGGTTCTAAGAACCTCCTCCTATACTGTGCAAGTTGCTTAGCAGATTTTGTAAGAACAGAACATGTTTTCCTGTGAAGAGTCTTGAGACAGGATTCCTTTGTGAAGGAAACAAAAGTGGGAATTAAATACTATAATGTAGGTGAAAGTATTATTGAGACCTTAAGACTTTTGGATACGAGCAGCCATCCAAGCACAAGGTACTCTTTGTCCTACAGGACATAGTTCCTGGGTTAGTATTTTTCATCAGTTAGGAAGTTAACAAAATTAGTGACAGAAGCCAAAGACATCAATGAAAAATATTGCCAACTGCATGAAGTAGCACTGGAGAATTTCATTGGCTGTGGGCATGAAATTATTTGTTTCCATTTTAGAACACTGTTCTTTGTTTTAGGAATTAAATACAAGACAATAGTTTTTGCAAATGGGTATTGGAGTGAGTGTTCACAGTAGTCTCTTCTAATCTGTTCAAGCAGAGGACTGGTAAAGTAACAAATGTTTAACCAACTCTTAGTGCAATCAATTTGCTAACTGCTTAATACATTTTAAGGATCTAGTTGCTTGCAATGTTTTATTCATGTTTTAATAGAGTTCTCAATTATTAAGCTCAAATATTTTTAATTAAGAAAGAAGTGCAGCCCTCTGGGTAATATTGCAACCACGTAGAGAGCTGGTAATTAAACTTTCTGCACGTGTAACTACATTAAACAATCCTGAATAAAGCATTCAAGTCCATAAGAATGCAAATGTCATATATGAAAAATAGATATAAATTTAAACAAGTTTTGTCAATCTAGCAAAGGATTTCAGAGTTTAATAAAAATGTCCTTTTATCACAAGGGGAAGATAAGCAAAAAGACAAGATAAGCTTTTAATTACTAAATGAAATATTCATTTTAGACAAATTTACAAGTATCGCAAAAAATTACTTTTTACATCAGAAGTTTCTTCTACATTTCAAAGTAAACTTCTCAAATTCAATTTTCAAATTCCCTCTTTGAAAATCATCCAAGATCAGGAAAAATGTGTGAAGAGGCTTTGCTGTAGTGGTCAGTGGCTGCAGAACACGCAGTCCCAGCTATTCTTTTGTAATACAAGGAGTTTGTTGTAGAGAATATTATAGATTGAAAGCTTTGCTGATAGTTCTTATTTCTGAGTACGGTACTTCAAGAGTGAGACCATTGCAAGAAACGTGAACAGACTGCTTGAGCGAGGCCAACAAGTCAGTCAAGTGTCAGGAATTCTTTTGTGAAAAACAAAATCTAAAGATCTGTGCATCTTTTTATTGGCATAAGAGACAAGATCAGAGTCAGGGAACGTTTTGTCTTTATTAGGGAGAGGATGAGCAAAATGTCCTTTCAGTTCCTAGTGCATTTATTGTGCATGGTGCCAGTTCATTCCTTTGTTTTAAGGACTGCATGCCAACAGATCCATATGAGGTAAGAAAAATAAGGAAAAGCCTCTCTTATTGTAATTAAATAAATGAATTACAGAAGGTTTCTGCGTGGGAAAATTAACAGAAAGTCAACATCTTCAGTAAGATCAATGACAATTTTAGCAGCTGTAGATCTAGCAGAATACTGATGTGCCAAAGCGAGGCAGGCTTTCCACACAGAAAATAGCAAGCTCAGTGCATAGTAAGCAAGGGAGTAATAGTAGCTGAACTATTAACTTGCGTGTAGAAAGGTCTAGAAAAAAAATGTCAGGTATTATTTTGGAATTAAAAGTAGTAATAATAATCACAGGACTCAGGAATAAAGCGTGGAGCTCAAAAACCAGAGGTAAAAAAAGGGTAACAGCTGAGCTAATCGTGGAGCTCATGCACTGAGCCATTCAACCACTGAGCCTAAAATAAATGCTACTATTGTCATTACTTTTTAATATGTATACACTAGCAAATTACTACAGTAGTCTTTAAAATTTAGTGCTGATGTGTAGCTTTCCAGATAAATTCTATGCTGTGTTTCACAAATAACTAACTGTTATGTTGATGGTGTTTATGATACTACGATAACTGTATGATTAAGTTTATTTCAAGACCTGTATCAAATGTTTAAGCAATTTTAGCTGCGGGATTTTCAAACTTTTAGAATAATAACAATAATAATCATATTTTTATTACACTGGAACAGCAACTTCACCAAATATGCTGAACCCAACCCGGGGTCACTAACAGTGCTGTGCTCTCCTTCCTGTAACAACGCATGCCTGGCCTCCATAGCTGAGCAGAAATGTGTTAACTAATCTATTCTACTAAACATTTTGATTCCCTTCTAGCATTGCAGCTTCTTTAAGCTTCCCCAGAGGCATTCGTTTCATTCATGTGTTCTGTTCCATGATCCTGTCCATATTGTTGGCTTCTCTATTTTGTTTCACAGGAGTATGACTGGAAGAACTACCAGTCAAGCAGACTGAGTGCATCCGAACTGCAGATGCTGGCTAGCATGAAGAGGCAACAGAGTGAAGAATTGAAGGATACAGGAACCTCACATGGGTTGAGTGCATCACAGATAGACAACTGTAACGTTAACATGAGTACAAGCAGTGATGATACAACAACCTGGAATTCTTGTTTCCCACCAGTAAGTCTCAATCTACAATATTTTCCCTGAAGTTCTAATTTTTTTTTTTAATTATTATTATTTCAGTGGTTTTGAATATTAACATTTCTTTAAGTAGTTTCAAAAACTAAGGTATCTTTACCAGATGTTTCTTAGAACTCATTAAGTAAAATACACAACCAGAACATACTTGCAGCAGCTTCTATATTACCACTATGGAAAGAAATACCTCCTACTTATTTCCATGGAAGCTACAACAGATACCAAGGGCACAACACTATTTGTTAAATCAAAACCCATGCACCAGTGGAAGGTGTGATAGTGCCTTCTTCCAGGACAGGAGCCTAATTATAAAGTTATTAATCATGATTTAGTTTAGAAAGCAATACAGGAGAAAGCAGCTTACCCTTTCCAAAGACTGGTGGAGACTCAAGCAGGGTACCATCCCAAAAAGAAAAAAAGAAATATTGTCCCCTTTGCTGCTAACCCTTAAATGAGGGTGGACTCTGGGTCCACCCCTTCTGGTCACTGAGGGGGCATTGCTTGCACCTGTGCTCCCTGGATTAGCCATGCCTTCTCACCTGGTGTTTTATAGCTGCTATGATGACATTGTTGCTAGGAAAAATACTGCCAACACAGTGCAACTTTCACTGTGCTCACACCTATCGTTTGGTCTCCATAAACAATTGCAAGCATTGAACAATAGCAGTGGGTGCCATTTTTTCCAGATGGAGGAATTCACTGACATACTTTTGCTTCATATGTGCTTCCATGTCAGATGCTATTCTGTCAGACTGCCCTTCTGCTGCCATCTGTCACAGCAACAAAATGCAAGAGAATATTGGTGGGAAGGCCCAGCCTCTGCTGCTGCATTACCAACATCCACCTCTGACTTTGCAGGCCAACATAATAAAATAGAAGGCATTACTTTCAGAGCAGCCCTGGCATATATTCTTTCTTAGAATCCTGAATAATCATGTAGGTTGCACAGCTTGTCAGTAGCAGCTGACAGCCTGCAGATGTGTGATATAGCACTTGGAAATATCTTCAGAATGAATGAAACCCATAGATACCAGCCAGCAATTGCTTTCCAGTGTGAGTAATGGAGAACAATTGCTTTTTACAATGATAAAGTCTCATTACTGAACAGCTAACTGTTTAAAGGACTGAAGCAGGAGAGCAGTGTCAAAGAGCTGCAGTAGCTCTGAGCACTTAGTGTGTGATCCTTCTGTATTTTACACCTTGTATCATTACTTGTCCTGGCCCAAAGTGCTACCAAATCTCACAGCTGCACTATGTGACAGAGTGCTGTTATAAGGAGAGTATTTGTTACAGTCCACCGAAGAGCATCGAGTGTATGAAATCAGGGCAGAGCATTCCAGCAACTATAGCAAGGTATTTGCAGGAGCTGCTGCAAAACTAGATAACCTCACACCCCATTTATATCGCAGCAAAATAGCTCTTACTTTATTACAGGTGAAACAATAATAAATAATGAATGTGTCTTAAGTAAAGCCCACAGCTCTCAGAGGCAGCTCCAGTGTTAGGAGAGTAAGCACTGCTGTGTGCCCCAGTATAAATTCTTGTAGGGCAAATGCTCTGAAATGTTAGCTGCAAATTATCTCCAGGAACCTACAGGGCCCAGATGGAGTCCTGTAGTCTGGACAACACTCTCAGTCATATGGTCTGATTTGGGGCTGGTCCTGCATGGAGCAATTGATGATCCTTGTGGGTCTCTTCCAGCCTGGGATATTCGATGATTCTAAAGGATTTTGTAAAACGAAAGGTACTGCTCCAGTACTTAGTGAACCACAGGCTGATTGCCAAGAGAGCTCTTTCATCTCACTGCCTTCATAGTTTCTGGATGCTTTCAGACAAATAACATCAGTTTTAAAAAGTGTTTAGATAAAATAGGTTAGTCATTTCAGTTGTAATTTAGCATAGCTGTAGCGTTCTGTTGGCTTGGAAATCTAGAAATGTCTGCTCATTTCATATAGCTGTTTTAGTGAATCCCCACACTAAGCATTCACATGTGCAGTAAATGTATTATTCTGTGCAGAGATAGACTAAATAACTGAGAGATCGAAATACAGCCTATCCAGAGCAATTAGAGCATGTTTGAATGTTGTTCCTGCTGGATTTCAGTCTTTGTTTTTATGTCCCCTCATCTTTACTACTGCAATCATTCAAGCTGAGTCGAGAAAATTTGCAGATGATCAATCCCTCCAAAATCCAACATACAAACTGTAGCAAAGTTTGTATCTGCAGCCATCTACCGTTGCTTTGTCAAATGATTTTAGCCGTACAGGAAAGAAAGAGAGGAATCCTCATATCATAGCTTGAGAAATTAGGGACAGTTTGCACTTCTTGTAACGGTTAGCCTTTCATGCTTCCATGTGTTTCCAGGTAGCATCTGATTATTTAAATCGGTATTATTTACTTTGTGGTCTTCCAAGATAATAACAAAAGTACTTTTTGTTGTAAATTTTCGTTCATCTTATAGAACCTTTTTGTACCTTGTTTGAATCTGTGGCAACAGCACCACCAGAAGGCAGATTTTTGTGTCTCTTTCATTCTGAAATACATACAGTGTTCTGTGAGGCAGTGCAGTGTATAATCATGTTAAGCAGTGAACATACATATCAGAGTAATATTTTCTCAATCAAACACATTTTTAGTTAGCTTGTTTTTTCCATCACTTGCCTCTATCAGTGTGATTTCCAGATTCATCGAAAATTTTCATGTATTACTGACTAATGAATTTCAGCAGGCTTCTGAAGTGAAGGCACAAAGATCCATCATATTGCTAAGCTGCAGTTAGAACAGATGTCCTTAAAAAACTATAAAACTGATATACTAAAACTGTATTTTACAACCTATGATGGCTTAGCAAGAACTGAGTAGATGCTGTCAGGAGAAGTTGTTGAAATGCAAGTTGTTTAGCAGCTGCTGTAAACCATGACAGCCAAAAAGAAATAAAATAGCTTTGAATATTACACATTACCCTGCGTAGCTATCAGCTATAAATATAAACTGCTTCTTTTTTTTGAAATGAATTTTACTTCAAAGGAGAACTGCGAATCTGTGCAAAAAGTGAGTGGGGCACAGGGCAGAGCTCCAAATTAACGACAAATATATGTAGAACTAAATATTTTAAGAAGATGGTATTTGACTGAATGCTTTCTGAAATTTCAAGTATATGAAGCTCAGTGTTAGCTTTGCAACAACATGCAAGACAGCTCTATGTACTGCAGAGTATAATGTGAAGTTTATATTATGAATTATCCAAGAATTGTCGGAAAGCTCAGGAAATAACTCTGCTTTAATGCCTTGCTCTGTGTTGGAGATCCAGTCAGATCTTCCTGCCCTGTCAGGGAAATTCAGCTTCTTGGGTTGCTGTTTCCATACAACATCAGACATCACTTTAGATGCAACACAGGAATTTTGGAGCAAGATCACGTAGAAGAGAGTTCAGAATATCTTCCTGTGCTCCCTTATTCTCAGTCAGAAATGCAAAGGAGAATGAATTGTAGAATCATAGCATTGTTGAGGTTGGAAAAGACCACAAAGACCATCAAGTCCACCATCAAACCACCCCCACCACAGCACAGCCCACATCCCTCAGTGCCACATCTCCACGGTCCTTGAACAGGGATGGTGACTCCTCCACTCCCTGGGCAGCCCGCTCCAGCCTATGAAGGTTCCCTCAGATTGCTAATTGATGAACCCTAAAAGCTAACAGTGGTGTAATGCTCTGTCATTAGACTCCAGGGTATGCTCACTACTCAGACGTGTCTTTCAAGCACAGAGTACACACAGAACACTAAAATTACTTGTTTCTCAAGCAACTGCCTAAATGTAAATTCAATCAAATAGATTTTGAATGAGAAACCATTTGAAATTTCAAGGTTCTCACTTAGTTTTTGGAAGGTCTCCTGCCCTCCATTGTGATGATTCAGAAAAGGAAACACTTTACACAGAAATGGTCTGACAGAACTGAAGTCTGACAGACAGGAGTAGTGATATTTAAACCCAGAATTATTCCAGCTGAGAGCTCAGTTTGACAGCCCCTGGAGGGATCTATTCACATCAAGTCAAATTGCAGAACTGAGGCAGACTATTCTTTACTATGAAATGAGACTAAAAATTATTTAGACAGATATTTTGGTTCATAGACTGACTGATTTACCTTCTGTCTCATCCACAGTCTTCCACTAGCCATCACTTGGGAATTGCACCATCCATGACCAGGCAGTGACTTATATTTGGCAGTAATTAGAATGTCATTCATCCCAAGCATACCATCTCTCCCCACTTCTTCAAACGATGAGAACATTCTCTTTTTAATTAATTTTGATAAAGATGCAGTTCTTTTCATAATACTTGGTATTTAACATCACACTAACTAATTTGTACAAGTATTTTTAATGCATGCTCATATTCTCACTTGTTTCTGCTTTTGCTTCAGTGGTTTGTTTACAGCTGTCCTGACGCACTGCGTGATGTGTTGGGGTCTTACCTGCAAACATTACCTATATTTTGAGACAAGGTGTATTTTTATATTAGTTTATGAAAATCAGTGTTTCTGGCAAATAGCTGTTTTAGAGCCATAAGCACCCAATAATTTAATATAAAGCTTTGGGGGCACATTATTACTATTGTTTGTAAGATTTGGACATTTTTTAATCAGAAATTATCATCACACTTCCCTCTCTGTGCCCTGGCCCTGTCCCCACACTCAGACAGCAGAGAAATGACTGCGTGGTCGACTCCTTCATTCATATGTATTTCCACCCAGATAAGAATCATCTGTTAAGTTATACCCTTGCACAGTTAGGATCTGAATATCCCTTTTAGATTTCACAGATAAGACGAAAGACCATAAAATTCCAATATCAGAAGCTGCAAATGCGTATCCTTATAAAGGATCTCTTTCATACTTTTGAACGTTCTGAAGGAATATTTGCAAAGTTATTTTCTCACTGTTATTTTATGTTTTCCATAGCCCGTCAGTCAGGAGCATCACTATCAGAAAGAAATGAGCCCACTTTCACATTCCAACCCACGGTAAGATTCCATTTATAGCCCAGGCAGTAAGAATTCAGTCGGAGTGTTCTGAATACTAAATGTGACGTTCTTTGATTTAATCTTAAATCTCCTTTTGGTTGCAGCCTCCTCTCAAAGAGCTTTACTATTGCTCTTTTTAGTCATTGTCTACAGGCTGCAGTAAGTCTGCATTGTCCCAGAATACAGGGCTGGATTCAGCATGGTTGAGATGTACCCTGTGTATTTAAAGGAACCAGCACAGCCCTTGCTCCTCCACGTGCTTTGACGCGTGATTCAGCAACTCTTCTTCATCTGACATCTATACACTCTGACCTGTTTCTTTCTCTGTCTCTGCTTTGTAGACTCAGAAGTAGAATTGCACCTGTGACTCCAGGTGTCAGGGAATCCATTTGTTAGAAAAGGTTTTAATGTTACTTACTTGGAAAGGAGTTTCCAATAGATAACCCAGCCTGGACAAGGTGCTAGGTAATAACACTGTGGGATGGTTCAAACCAATCCTGTCTACAATGTATTTTGGATGTCACGTTTTTAGTCTTATCTGTTCTGTTTGGAGTCAGCACCAAAAGCCCAGTGACTTTAATGTAAGATAAGATGGGGATGTCAAGACAAGGGGAGATGGTGGCTGAAGAGAAGCAGTGAACATTCAGACAACCAGATTGAACTGTCCTGTTTCAGAATTGCCTTGCACCTGTGAAAGCCCAGCATCATTTTGCCAGTTCTTGAACAGCCTGAACAGGAGGCAAACTTAAATTTTAAAGCAGTCCTACTTCCCTTTCTGTTGGTGTGATTAACACAGATTTTGCATGTCTGAGTTCTAGCTGGACAATGCATGCAGTGCTGGGAGGGATATGCAGAGAGGGTATTTTGGGTATGACTGCAAGAAAGCTTGCTTGATTTCTTTTCAGGATACCAACAGTGTGAAATTTTATGACGGTGCACCACCAGCCAATTGTGCACCATAATATTCATTTCTCCTCACACAGATGTTTTCAGTCACTTGTTTTACTTGCCATCCATGTTTTTATTATCTTCTTGTTAGATTTTATGGAGTGAACACAATGAAACTTGCTGTGCAGGTTCACCCAGATGCATCACTCATTGCAACATACAGCCATATGTTTCTTAGCACACACAGCATATTACTGGAGTTAAAATACAAGCCTGGATTCCTGTCCCATTTCATAACTAAACCTAAGTGCCAACACTGTTCTAGAAAACCTCTCCACCTTCCATGCTACTTGCCCAAGGAGCTATCTCTACCCTTTCTAATTGTTACAGTGGACAGAGTGGATGGAGAGACTTGACTATAGTCCAGGTTAAGTTATCCAGTGCCTTGCAACTGACCAGGACTCCTATTCCAGAATTGATTTCCTAATTCTGATGGCGTAAGAATAGCCTACATTTTAGCACAGGCTGCACTGCTTTTCTACTTCCAGCCAATAGGTTGAGTCAGGTTTTGTTATTCGTATTCATGTGATAAAGCAATTTGGTACTCAGTATGTTTTATACACTGAAAAAGAGAAGAAGCACCAGTATCTGTAAAAATAAAGCATTTCAGCGTATTGAGTTTAGATGATCACCAATGAAAACTTATATTTCCATATAATAAAATCTAAAACAAAATGGTATAAACTACAACTTTGTTCTCAATCTGTTTTAATCCAGTACACAGAGCAGACAAATTTACCTAGAAGTCATTTTTGAGAAATGCAGGCAAAGTATTTGTAAAGTACCTGAATGCTTGGAAGTGCCTCATAAATTCTGCAGCCCTTGTGAACGGCCAGAAAAGTATTATTGGGCTGTAAATAGGGAAGATGACAAAATTATGAGGTCAGTTTGCATCACAGTGTAAAAACTGGAAAAGATGTGTGTGGAATATCATGATTCACGTTGTTAACTTTCATTTATAATGGAAAATTTAGTAATGTTTTCCACTGAGGGTGTGTATGTGAGAGAGAGAGAAAATTAACAGTAATTTTATAACTTAGTACTTAAGGTATTTTTAAAAGCCTATTTTAACGAGTAGTGTATGGGTAAGTGGAAAATACCTCAATCTTTGTATGCCTATGATAGCTAAGAAAGCAAACGTGAGAATATCTGAAAATCTGACGTATCCTGTGTGGGATAAATATCATGGTACAAAGAGATTTACATTAGGTACTTACTGATAGAACAAATAGCTTGTTGTAAAGAACAGTAAAGCATGTGACAGGTCTGAAGTAACTTTAGGAGTCATATCAGTGGTGTTTTCTGGGAAACTGAGAGAGCCATGTAGCAGCTATTGTCCAAGAGGAGCTTCTGTCCATTAGAACATAAGGCAGGAAAGAAAGCATCTGTGAAGATAATGGAAATACAGTCAATAAAAAGACCCAGCTAGACTCATTTTCCATTGGATCCACTGGGTGAAGGTCGTAAGTCTGCCAAGAATATTGCTGCTGCAGTACAAATCATGCCCAAATCATGCAAGGCACAGAACCAGTGAATGAAAGGAGGCAGACGGACTGCAGAGACACAGAGCCAGATGAGAAGAAGGCGTGCGGTGTCTCGAGCCTTAGCTCTGCAGTTCCCCATGCTGGCTGGTGCTTGGTCCGAGCTGAGTCCCATAACTGCTTCCTTTCCCTTCAGATAGGAAACTAATTAGCTGTTACTTCTCCTTCCAGAGCAGGGGCTGGAAACTGCTATGCTTACTTAGGAAGCATTTCAGCAGCACTGTCCTCCAACATATTTGTGTGCTGTAGATTTGGAAGTTGCATTAAAGGAAATGCTGAAAGGAAGTTAATATCACAGAGGAATTGCAGCAGTACTGAACTGCAAAGCGAGGAACTGTTCTGTAAAAAAGATATTTAGCCTAATTGTATGAATAGATTTCCTACAGATCCTACAGATATATCCTACAGATGCTCTTCAGAAAATTTATTTCTGATTTTCCATCTTTGAGAGATATTTTTTTAAGTTGAGATCTGTCTTTATAAGCATTGCCTCCCCAGCTCCTCAGCTGGCATCCTGCTCAGCTCTTCCCAATCTACCAAATTAAATTTGTTCCTCTGAAGTTCAAACAGCTGTTCACAGAAACCGTGCGAGGGCAGGACATAAATATTTCAGCACATCGTTAGGTGTCTTTTCTAAGGAAGTTTGTTTTACTTCAGTAATTTTATATAAAACCTACACAGGCAATGCTTTATTTAGGTTGTACCCAGACATTTGGTTCTGTATGTTTAAAAAATATGAATTCCCATAGCGAACCATGGGCACGGAGGTTTGATGATAGTAAATATCTGCCTGATTTGGGCTATGGCCAAGAATACAAGACCAGCTCATACAACACAGGCTTCATTGTATGAGAAAGCTTATTTGTCAATAGTATCCAAGTAAAGAATGAGTGATGAAGCCATGTTTCATTCACAAATTATTATTTTTGTAATTAATTGCTGGTGGGTTTCATATATTAACAGCTCAACATTAACAACCTTCCAAAGTGTGGAGTGACAGCTTTTCCTAGGCTGACTGCAGTCTGCAGAAGTTCATTAGTGTCTCAGTCAATGAAAATGATCTTTGGAAGCATTGTCTATAGCTCTGCTATGGGTTTCATCCTGCAAGAAACTGATGAAGCTATGAGATGCCATTTTGCCACATCCCCATCTACTCTTTCCAGTGTCTTGTACTTGTCTGTGATTCTCTGACCTGTGTTCACATCAGTTATTACCTCTGTAAGTTTTGCTACGAGAAGAGAGCATTACCATTGCTCTAAAGGGATAGGATTCAGGACCTGCAAGTCAGCTCCTGCTTCTGTGAAATGTTCATTTTTACCTTAATTTCCATCATGGTTTTGTTACAAACTAAAAAGAATCAGCTTAAAACCAAGGAACAGGTTTGGTTCCTAGAATGTTAACGACATCCAATGATATTATGAAGTGTTTATGGGAAATAGATGATGCAGTTCAGGCTGGCTTTTTGTCTAGATGTATGTGCTATCTATGAAAAGTGTCACACTGTACTGTAGTTTAAATCCTTGAAGCTTTGCCTCTTGTGGATGTGATAGGAAGTTCCTTGTCTCTATAACAGGCTGATAAGGGCCTGCAGTCATTGGCAGATGATAAATAGTCATTGACCTTACCTGACATTGGCATGGTGCAGGCTGACTAAAGCAAGGTGTCCTGTCATTGTAACCTACCATTCCATTAGAATGATTGGTGTGTCATCATTCTTCCTTCCAATACAACCCAAAAGAAGAAAGTAAAAACACTTTCTTGTCTTTTTTTGGTGAAGGTATCTCTCCAGTGGAAGTAATTCATATTCATATAACAAAAAATGAACAAGCAGCAGTTGCCTTTTATGACTGCTCCCTATTAATTTTAGAAAGTAAGTTATTTTTCCCACTTTCTTATAAAGTTTCTGGTACCAGTCTTTTTCATAACCTACTCCTGCCATAAATGTTGCCGTGATCACAGCACATGAAATTTGTGTATAGAATCAACAGTTCTAGCACACAACCATAAACTTTGCAAACACTGAAGTACCAAAACTAAAGATATGTTCAGTTTTTAGACTGACATTCAGGTATTCTCATCTGCCCCAGAAGAAAATTAAATATGCCAGTAGCTGATGCATGTCGTCCTACCACTCATATTCAGTTAAGATTAAGCTCACCTATAAAGTGATGCAGCAGAAGAAAGATTGTAGTTATAACATTTATTTGTGCTACACCAGAACTTCTCTACCGTGCATGCTGTAAAATTCAGTTGTAAAACATATTTGTCTCCCATATTTCCAGGTAAGGGCATAAGTACTCTAATAGCATAGAGTTGAGAAGGAAATTTAAAGGATGTGTTTTACAAAGAAGCATATTTATTTTTGTGATTCATTAGAAGATGGAAGTCATACAACTCCATTATTTCTGCAAAACAGAAATTATTGCATTAGGAACTATTAGGAAATTACACAACAGTTGTCAAAATAAGTGAACAACGTATCAAAAAATGTGCTTTGCTTTTTCATTGTAC